GGCCAGGAGGGGCAGGGCGCCCTGCGGGAGGGAGGCCAGCGGCTGTGCGGAGGGGACAGCAGGTGCCGCGAGGCCTGGGTGGCTGTTTACTGGCTGCTTCCTCCCCCACCATTCCGCACAGCAGACAGGGGGCTGCTCCACTCCTGCCTGGAGCACCAGGGGCTGGTTAGAGCCCAGGCGCCACGGCCCTGAGATGTTGGGCAGGACCTCAGCACCTCTGAACTTCTCTGCTCTTCTGTGAAAGGGGCAGGCGGCGAGAGGATCAGGCGAGGTTGGCACTGTATTTGGCACGTGATAACTGCAGAAGTCATTTATCCGTCATCTTCCAGAGACCGCGTGGCCCTGGCCCCGGCTGGATCTCTCCGTCTGACAGTGGGGCTGGGACCCCGGGAATGGGGAACGGGCAGAAGCAGGGGTAGCGCCCACGGTTCACTAATAAAATGACAGACACCAGCCCCCAACTGTGGCCTCACCTGCTTCATGCCCCGGGCCGTGGGCAAGATCCACAAGTGTTAGCAGGAGGAGGCTGCAGGGCAGTCCAGGTTTTAGCAGGTAGAGGATGCCCTCCTTGCTGCTCTAAGCCGCTGAGGCCCCCAAAGTCTCAGCCACGGATCCCAGGTCTTTCTGCCTTGCCTTGGCACTGGCTGACCTTGACTTAAGATGAATGGGGAGGCCCAGGGGCTTACACCCACACCCCCTGCAGAAAATGCTTGGCCTCCTGGTGTCTCGGGCAGGTCTGTGCTGCAGGCCCTTCAGTTAACCTGGAAGCCTTTTCTGCAGGCCCTGCTCTCTGGATGGTGCAGAGGGGCTCAGTGACCACCAGTCCTGCCCACCAGCGCCTTGAGCATTTTCCCACCCTCCCCACACACAGCTGGCCCTGGGCAGAGCTGCTCAGACCTCAGGGAGCCTCAGACCACGAGAGAAGCTTGTTCAGCTGCAGGTTCTGATTAATCAAGTGTCCTGGCATTACCACCTGCCAGTGGGCGGCGCTCAGCGTGCCCAGGCCTCGGCCATCCCGAAATCAAGGCTTCCTCTGCCTGCTGGTGGCCGTGCTCAGCGTGGCCAGGCCTCAGCCATCCTGAAGTCAACGCCACCTCTGTCTTGGCTGTCCTATGAATCACCGGGGCAGAAGATGGTGAAAATGGAGGTTTTGCTGCCCTAGGTGGCCTGCCTGCCGGGCTCTCCCTGGGCATACACTGCCCGCCCTCCTGCCCCAGCCCACGGAAGCCTGTTAGCATCAGAAAGTGGAAGAGACTCCTAGAACTATGGCGTCTGGGGCCCGGACCAGCAGCAGCCCCACCTGGGAACATGTTGGAAATGCAGGTTCTGGGTCCCAGCCTGACCTGCTGAATCAGAACTGGCGGGAGAGGCTGCAGTCTGTCTGAACACCCCCTGGGGGATGCTCATGGAGGCGGAAGCATGGCACCACTGCCTCAGGGCACTGCCCCCTCCTGGTCTGTAGAAGCCTCAAACCTGGAGTGGGGTGTGGCTCTCCCAGGGCCACCACACACCGAGGGCCCCAGCTCCAGCGTGGCTGGCCACCTGAGATGAGCTGGCCCAAGCCCATCCTCCGGCCTGGTTCCGCCCCCGAGATCACCTGCAGGTGGGACGTCAGCCACCTGTCAGGGCACCTGGGGCAGGCTGCCCCAGCGCTGGGCAGCCACTTGGTGGGGCCTTGGCTGGGAACCGTGGGGCTGTTGGGCACCGGCCTCTGTTCTTAGCCCGCTTCACCCACTCTCTCTTTCTCCTTTGGTTGCAGCCCCTGCGGACAGGAAGGCTAAGGCCTCAGCAATGCCGGACTCCCCAGCGGAGGTGAAGACGCAGCCCCGGTCCACACCCCCCAGCATGCCGCCCCCACCACCTGCCGCATCCCAGGGGGCCACACGCCCCCCCTCCTTCACGCCACACACACGTAAGTAGCCCCCACCTGGCAGCCGAGGGCCAGGTGTTTCAGGGGAGCCCCTCGTGTTGTGTGAAATTCCGAGCTTCCTGCCCAGAGCCGGTGGGCACCTGCTGTGAGCCCTGAGTGTGAGGAGCTCATGTGGCATGGCCCAGAGCCCAAGCTTGGCAGGTTCAAATCTCAGCTTCCCTGCTTCCCACTGTGTAGCTCTGGGCCAGGTCCTTGCCCTCTGGGGGCTTGGGCTTCCTCTTCTGCGGTGCAAGTCCTCCCAGGGCTGTGGTGGGGCCAGGTGAGTCCACACAGGCCTTCACCAGGGCCAGCCGTGGGCCTTGGGTCAAAGCCGGCCGCTGTGCCTCAGGCTTCCTGCCTCGTCTGGCAGGCCCAGGGATGCCAGGCTCATCCAGAGGGAATGTGGAACTCGGATACAGTCAGGGGCTTCCCCAGGGTCACACAGCAGGTCACCTGTGTACAGGCCCCCTGGAGGAGGGGCTTCCCCAGGGTCACACAGCAGGTCACCTGTGTACAGGCCTCCTGGAGGGACCGCAGGAGCGGCTCTGGCCTTGGAGGGGCTCGGCAGGAGCTCGGCAGCCCGGCTGAGCACGGGGGCCACGGTGGGGGCCTCAGCACAGGAGGCCAGAAGGGCGGGACCTCGAGAAGCTCCCAGGCCTTATCTTGCTGGCCCTGGGCAAGGGGTTGGCCATGCTTGGCGCACAGAGCCGCTGAGGGTGGGCCCTGGGGGGCTGTGGGACAGCGAGCAGCCAGTTCTCATCGCAGTCAACCCCGAGGCTTGGCTTTGAGGACAGAATTGGTGCTCTGTGGCCCAGTTGCTGGGCCGGCGGGGTGGGCAGCGTCCCTGCCCCTCAAGGCCGGGGACTCAGGAGTGCATCTCAGGGTCTGCAGGGGTGGAGACTCCGTGTACCCCCGTCACGTTCAGAGGCCAGAAAGCTCTGAAACCCAAATGAAGCCCCTCTCTGTGGGAGGAGCCTGAGACTTCTGTCGCGCTGGCCCCGGGTTCCCCACAGGCCAGGAAGAGCTGCTTCCTCAGTCCCTTTGTGTCATGACTGTCCACAGAGCACCAGGCGGCCATGGGCCAGGCCTGGCTCCCTCCCTGGCTCTGCCCCTGAGGCTGGGGGCCTGCTCCGCCGAGGGCTTTGGCCGTCATCTCCCCTGCATCTGGAAAGAGCACTGGCTGTGGGCTCAGGCAGCAGACTTGCGGCCCTGTTTGTGGGATGCTGGCTCCGAGTCAGCCTCCTGACTTGGTTGGGGAATGGGGTGACCCAGCAATGGGGTGCCCCCAGGTGTGCCGCCCAGAGGCAGGTACAGCTGGAAATGTGCCCAGCACTCAGTAGGAGCCAAACAGCCTAACACCTATTCCCTGCACCCACGGGGCCTCCACGTGTCATGGAGCCCATACTGGGGGCCAGCCCTGCCTCCGACAGTCGGGATGCCACACTCACGATTCTGCAGGTCCTGGAGGATGGCAGGCCCAGCATGCAGGTCTTGGCCCTGCGGAGCTGGCCACAGTTTCCAGTGAGAGGTTAGCTGGGCCTTTTCTCACATGGGCTTGTCACACGGCGATGTGGCTGGGCTGGGATCACCCTTCCCTCTCTTCCGGAAGAGCCCTCCGGTCTGGTACGAACCACAGGCCGTCTCTTTCCACCAGGCAGCTTGCGACCACACCGAGCCCGCATAGGTAGAGAGGGGAGACCACTGGTGTGTTGAATTCGCAGCGCACCCCAGCCCGGGGGGAGGAAGTGCTCAGGACGGACCACAGGAGACCTGGCCATGGGTGCAGTGCCTAAAACGCCCAGTCCACAACCCTCAGGCCCCAGTGTCAGGGACAAACGCTGTGGGCTGAGCCTGGTTCCCCAGACCCTCAAGGGTGCGTCTCCCTGACCTGCTCCTCCCCGGGCACCAGCAGCCTCTGCTTCGAAGGTGCTGGTCTGGGGACCCGATGCTCCCGGCTGGGGGTGGGGTGGGATCAGCGGAGCCTCAGGCTCTGCTTCCGGAGACCTGGGAACACTTGTGAGGGCAGCCGGCATGCCTGGGGCTGGGGTCCTTCCCGCCCCCTCCGCTCTCAGCACACCTTGGGGTCAGGTTTCTGGGGTGAGGTCCCAGCTGGTTTAAGGAGCGTGAAGGTTATGCAAGAGAGAAGCAGGTGCTTTTTCTTTTCTAAGCCGATGCTTCAGTCCCACCGGGCTGTCAGGTGCATCAGTCTGAGGCTCTGGCTGCCCCTGAGGTGGCCTCAGATTCATCCCCTAATCCACACAATTCCCTGAGAGCCAGGTGGTTGGCTGCACCCCTGCCCCTGGCTGGCGGGTGTCCTTGAGGGGCCACAGCTCGACGGCAGAGCCCTGCCGGGAGGCTCCTCCCCGGGGACTGGCCTCTGAGCCAAGCTGATGGGAGACTGAGCTTGAACGGACACTTGAGGGCTGAAGTTGTTCTTGCCCAGTGACTGCCCTGGGCACAAATTCATCTTGGAGTTGAAGCTGCGGTGCTGCTGCGGGGGTGGGGGGGAGGGGGGAGGACTATAACGAGCAGGGACCCAGACCAAGCTCCTCTAAAGCTGGGAGGACTCTTAAAGGGCTTTACCCTGCCCTTGATTACCCCCATGACAGAGAACTCACTACCTGTTTACAGAGCTCCAGCCTGTCTTCCTGTGGGCTTCGCCGCTAACTTCAGCTCGGACAAATTCAATCTTTCTTCATTTATATAGCACAGATGGGGACTCCCTACGTCACCCAGGCTGGTCTTGACCTCCTGGGCTCAAGCTCTCCTCCCACCCCAGCCTCCCGAAGTGCTGGGATTACAGGTGTGAGCCACCGCGCCCGGCCAAATCTTTCTTCCTGTTTGGTGCTTCCTCCTCCAGCGCTGACCCAGGGCTTTGTTTGAGACTCCAAGTCTCAGATCACTTTTAGGACACGCAGCTTCGGCCCAGGCCCCTGAGGATGGTGCTGATGGGGTCACAGGTGCCTTCTGGGAAGAGGATGTTGAAAACGAGGGGCCCCGCCCCTGCTCATAGAGAAGCCTTGGTTCTTGTAGACTCTGGAACGGTCCTGTCAAAAATGGCCCTTAGGGATCATCCACTCTCAGAGAAGGAAACTGAGGCCCAGAGAGCGGAGCGGCCTGGCCCCTGGTGGTGACGAGCCCCATCCAGAAAATCGCTCTGTGAAGCAGGAAAAGGCGGCCCTGGGTGCCCCTGAGGGCGGAGTCTCCTGCTCACGACCCCACCGAAAATCGCTCTGAGAAGTAGGAAAAGGCGGCTGCGGGCGCCCCTGAGGGCGGAGTTTCCTGCCCACGCCCCTCCTGACAGCGTGTTCTTCTTATTTTGCTTACAGATCGAGAGGACGGGCCTGCGACGCTGCCCCACGGCCGTTTTCATGGCTGCTTAAAATGGTCTATGGTCTGTCTCTGTAAGTAAAATAACAAAAACCGCAGGCCTCCCGGGAGGTCTTCACCGCAGCACCCTCTGTGGGCCCAGCGCTGCTGCCCTGGGGGTGCTCGGCACTCCTCCGCGGCCTCCACACCCTCAGCATTGCCTCTGTCGTGTTGGTCCTGCCTCCTTCGGGAGAGGAGGGCGCAGGAGGGCAGAGCCGCAGGGTCCCTGCATCCCACAGACCCTCCGCTCCAAGCTGTGGGGCTTCAGGCAGGAGCAAGGCCTCTCTGAGCTTTCCTTCCCCAGCAGCAAAACGTGGCCAGTGGGACTGACTGTGAGTGCCCAGGGAAGGGGCGTGACACTGTCCCTGGCAGGCCTGGAGCTCAGCCACGTCTGCTAGGGCAGACCCCACCTACCGGAGTCCCAGCTGCACCTCTTCCTGCCAGGGTGACCTTGACCAGGTGCCACACCCCGTGCCTCAGTTTCCCCACCTGTAAAATGGAAGTCATCATGGGCCCTGGTGCCAGGGGTGGTCTCCAGGAGCTGTGAGATGGTGGGGCCGGGCATGCGCTGGGCGCTCAGCAGACCTGAGTCTCCAGCAGACGTTTGCGTCGACGGGCGTGGCCCATGGCAGGCGTTCAGGGAGCACGGGCTCTTACCAGGCGGTGTTTAGAGTTTCTCTCAGCCGGTGAGTGCATTCATGCTTGAGCCCATCAGACAGACTCCGGTCCCTCACTACCAGCCAGCCTGGCAGTACGGCCCAGGTGTGGCTGCTGCGTCACTCCCAGCTCTAAGAATGAGGGTGGCAGAACAACTGTGCATTGTTTCTGTTGCACGGGGCTGTCCTTGTCACAGCCGTTATTCTGTGATGGGCCTGGCCATGCACCCGCGCCTGGCATGCAGCTCCGGGACAGTGGCTGTTGTCACCCACTGTGTGATCTTATGGATGGCAAAGATGGTGAATCCCAGCCCTGGAGCCCCCACAACAAGGAGCAGGGGTGACAGGAGGGGCTGCCTTAGGGCGCCTCTGTCCCATCTGACCCCCCCACCAAGGCTCTGAGGCTGGGGGAGCCGCGGGGGTGCTCGTGTGTGCCCCCAAACCTCAGCTGGGGACACGTGTGCAGTCTAACTTAGTAACACACCTGTTGCGGGAATGAAAGCACTTGTGCCGGGGTTATTTTCGGCGTCTCTTTAGCTGCTGAGACTGCCCGGCAGCGCGGGAGGGAGTGCGCGGGCAGGCGAGGGCGAGCAGGCCGCTGGAAGGACCGGGCACCCAGGGCAAGGCTGGTAAGCGCACCTAAGGGAGGGCCAGGCCCAAGCCGGCCGGGGCGGTGGGCAGGGGCCCCGGCGTGCACCGTGGCAGTCTGAGAAGCCACTGGAAGGTCCACAGTCCTGGTGACAGTCCTGTGTGTCCTGGAGAAACCAGCCTCCCACTGTGGTGAGGTCTCCCATGGTGACGGGCCATCTCCTGGCCTGGCTGGGTGACCACAAGTGGCTATCTTCAGTCTTGACGGGGTGTGTGTGTGTCAGAGTCCACCGTGTGGCCAGTTGGAGCTCACCAGTGAGAGGGAAACTCAGCAGCGTGGTGGGGTCCTCCGGACAGAACCTCGGAGAGCGAGAGACCAGGGGCTCAGTGCATCCTGCCTCAGTGTCCACTGTCCCCCCGGAGGAGGGAAAGCCCCAGAACACGGTGCCATTATCGGTGCCATGCACTCCGGAGGGCCAGTGCGTCCATCCTGAGCCCAGGAAGGCACTGCTGAGATCATTCAAGCCAGGGGCACAGACAGGCTACCCCCTACACAGGCCGCCCCTGGTTGAGGGGAGCGCCGCTCAGAACGTCGTGTGGAGGTTCCCGGCCCCAGCAGCAGAGGTGTGTCAGTTCTGCAGCCAGCCCATCGGAACGGCCGAGGCCACGCGTGCACTCCAGGTTTTGTGCCATGTCTGACCTTCAGTTAGCGGTTTCCAGTAGGTGTGGGGACCATTTACTGCCAACGGCCTCACACAACACCCAAACCATAGAACCAGTCAGGATGGAGCCACCCGGGGGGCTGACCTGGGCAACAAAGGAGAGGCCAGGGAAGCCCGGGTCTGGCCTGAGTGACTCCAGCTGGGGACACATGGTACAAAGGAGGTCACTGCCACGCTGTCCCTTGGTCCCTGGAGCCCCACTTGGAACTCCAGGACAGGCTGGGAGCCATTTGCAAATGAAGAAACTGAGGCTAGGCGCCGAGTCTGACTCACAGGGCACGTCTGGGCCTGGCGGCCGGGTCCTCGCTCCTAACCAGGGCAGCTTCCCCCAGCCCTTGAAGGCAGGGCTGTGTCTGTCTGGACGTCCTTACCACGCTGGTGTGTCTGAGGGCCTCTGCGGCGCCCCCTGCCCTTCTGGCCTCCTCCCGCAGACCCTGCAGTGGGTATCTGTGAGGCCCAGGCTGGAGCGAGAGCAGAGTGAGCACTGGGCCCCAGGGAAGGCCGTCATTGTGGGCACATCTGTTCCGCCTTCTCCACCAAGAACATCCTGAGCACAGGGCCGGCATCACCCCGTCCTGCTGTGCCCAGCGCTGGCTGCTCGGTGTGTGGGACCTGCTGGGGACGCGAG